CCCGGTCCTCGGGGGAGACCTTGATCTGGAGGAGGTGGGAATGGGGGGTGGGCGGAGGGGAGGGGGAGGGGGCGAGAGGGCGAGAACAGGGGAATCTGTGGCTATTATGTTAAACTGAATGGTATTGTAAAATAAAAAAAATATTCTGTGTGGTCAAAATGAATACATTTTTTATTCATTCATCTTTTTCTTTACTTTTCTATTTTTTTGGTGTTTGCTTGTTTTTACACAAAGGTGTCTTATAAACCAATCTGCTTACAAACTCATTAAGTAATTGAGTATGACCTTGGACTCTAATTCTATGGCTTCTACCTCCCCAGTTCTGGGGTTTCAGAGCTGTTCCACTACTTCAAGCAACCTCGTTTGTGTTGGTCTATTTTGCTTTATTTTGTCTTTTTGTTGCAGTGTCTCTCTGTACAGTCCTAGTTGTTATGGAACTTGCTAAGTAGAGAATACTGGCTTCATACTCACAGAGATTCACCTGCCTCTGTACCCTGAGTGCTCAGATTAAAGTTGTGTGCCACTGTCCTAGTTAGAATTTTTATTGCTGTGAAGAAATACCATGACCTCAACAACTCTAACAGAGAAAATATTTAATTGGGGTGGCTCAGTTACAGATTTAGAGGTTCAGTCTATTATCATTATGGTGGGTAGTATAGAGGCATGCAGGCAGACATGGTACTGGAGCTGAGAGTGGGTGGTATTCAGAGGATAGGAAATCTCAGAGTCTTTACCCACAATGATACACTTCTTCGAACAATGTCATACCCACTCCAACCAAGCCACATTTCCTAGTAGTGCCATGAGATTGTGTGGGACAATTATATTCAAACTATCATATTACACTCTCTGACCCACACTGCCTCATAATAATATCAAAATGCAAAATGCATTTAGTCCAACTTTAAAAGCCTTCATAGTCTACCACAGGCTCAGCAATGATTAAAAGTCCAAAGTTCAAAGTCTCTTCTGAGATTCATACAATTTCTTAAATGTAATCCCCTATAAAATCAAAATAAGAAACATGTCACATACTTCCAACATGCAATGGCACAGGATATATATTACCATTCCAAACATAGGAAAGGGAGCATAGTGAGAAAATACTAGAACAAAGCAAGATCAAAAACAGCTGAGCAAATTCCAAACTCTGCACCTTCATGTCTCAAGGTGAAATTATCTTCAGATGTCCAACTCTGTTCAACGTTGTTGACTACAACATATTTCTTTCTCTTGGGCTCTTTCTACTCCCTGTTAGCAGCTTTTTTGCTGCAGGTATCCCACAACTTTGGCATCTCTAATATCTTGGGTTCTCCAAGGCATTTTTGGCTTTAACTTCCCAGCTTCACTCAATGGCCTTTCCAGGCCTCCATTCAAGGACACCCTTGACACATGCCTGGTCTTAGCAGCTTTCCTTAGACTCAGAGGCAAATTCCATAATCCATTTCTTCTATCCTTAAAGCCAGAACCTCATGGTTGAAGCTGCCAGGTTCTGCTCCTTGCTGGGTTGGAACATTCCCCCGCCCACCCACTTTAAACAATATATTCATCAGCTTGCTTTCTTTCAATGCCTCAGCTTAGCTGTCCTGAAACTTGCTCTGTAAACCAGGTGGGCCCCAAATTCAGTCATCTGCTAGCCTCTGCCTTCCCAGTACTGGGAGAAAGGTGTGCCCCATCACACCCAGCTCTAAGCTTTTCTTCAGTTCCTTTCCCAAGTTGGAAACTTATCTGGGTGAGATCTTGTCTAGAGGTCACCATTACCTTTATTCCATTTATCAGTCCATTTATCTCCTTGAACACCGGATTTAACTCCATTTCATTTCTTGGTGTTCTTTTTTTTTCCCCCTCGAATTTTACATTTGTATTTTACTCTGCTCAGTTTGTTCCTTTTATAACGAATATAAATATTCATTATAGTTACCAGAGTCTATAATAGACTTTTTTGAGATTTCTTCTGCCAACAGAATTAATTCCAAACTCTTCAATTTAGCCTCAGGAAGACTCTTTGAATAAGGTGAAAAGGAAGCCACTTTCTCCACCAAAATATCACAAGAATGAACTTTGGGCAACATAATAAAATTTTTCTCTTCGGAAACTTCTTGATATAGCCCTTCCCATCCCCATAGTCCACCAAATCACAGTCAGTACCACTTTTTTTCCACACTCCTACTAGTATGGCCCATCAAGCAGCACTTAAAATGTTCAACTGCTTTTCTAATCCATAGTCCCCAAGTCCATATTACTCCAAATAAACACATTGTCAGGCTTATCCCAATACCCCAGTCCCTGGTACCAACTTCTGTCTTACTTAGAATTTTTATTGCTGTGAAGGGACACCATGACCATGGCAATTCTTATAAAGAAAACATTTCATTGGATGGTTCACTTACAGTTTCAGGGGTTCTGTCCATCATCATCATTGCAGAGAGCATTGTGGCATGCTTGCAGACATGGTACTGGAGCTCAGAGTGCTACATCTTGCAGGCAATAGGAAGTCAACTGACATACTGGGCAGTATCCTGAGCATAGGAAATCTCAAAGCCTGTATCCACAGTTACACACTTCTTTCAACAAGACCATACCCACTCCAGCAAAGCCATACCTCCTAATACTGCCACTCCTTATAGTATTATGGCAGCCAATTACATTCACACTACCACAGCCACCATGACTGGTTTTCTAAAAGCACTCTATTTATTTGGTTGGATTATATGCTGTGAAATTAATATGCTGAGGTTTTCATCAAAAAGACTGTGGTCTGAATTCAAAAAACTTCTTGACCTCAGCACAAAAGACAGAACACTAAATGCCATAATCCCAAAGAAGGCATGAAGTTCAGTGATTAAAAATTCTGAAATCTAAAGTCCACTAAAACCAAAACATGGAAAATTTTGAGTGTTGAAATCTCTATGAGAATAGCAGAATATCATTAGGAGTCATTTGTATTGATATCTTTTTTTTTTCTTAAACAGTTTTACCTTAGGTCTCTGGCCACTTAGTCTGTTGTTCTTGCTTACTCAAGCAGTGTTGTATATGGGCTTCTTCTCATGGAGTAGGCCTTATGTTGGTGTTGGTTGGCTTCTCCCACAAGTTACTGCCACAATTGCCCTAGAGTATTTTGCAGCCAGGAGAGATTGTATATCAAAGATTTTGTGGCAGCTTGGTGTCTACATTTCTCTTTTGGTATTCTACAGAGTACCTTCCTGCACCAAAGAGACTAGAATGTAGGGGTGAAGAATCCATGTAGACACCAGTTCTCCTTCTCCATGTTCAATCACTTGTGTGGGTGTTTTCCTCAGCACTGGGGCCCCACAGTCAGTTTGAGGAAAGCAACCCTTGGTGTCTGAAACAGCCTAGGTTGTTTGGGGATTTCCATGGAACCCCATTGGCCAACAGCTCAAAATACAACCCAATCCTGCCACTAGAATCCCTCCCTTGTGACAAGAGATGGCCAGTTGAGCCTCTGAATCCCCTATTAGTAGAACTTCTCAAAGGATTTCCCACATCAATTCCAGTATTTTTCTACTGTACTAGTTTTCCATACCACCTCAAAATGCCCATAATTCTAATAGTCTCTCCCTACACTCTCTCCCTGCACCCCATCTTCCACACCACCTCATTACCCGATTCTTGTTCCCACCTACCCAGTCTGCACATAAAATCTATTTTATTTCCCCCTCCCAGGGATCCATGTTTCACCCCTAGACTCCTTTTTTCCCAATATCTCTATGTGTATGAATTGTAGCTTAGTTAATTTTTTTATTTTTTTACTTATTGGCTAATCTCTACTTATAAGGGAATACATACCATATTTTCATTTTGTGTTGGGGTTACTTCACTCATGATGATGTTTTTCTAGTTCTATCCATTTTCTTGTAACTTTCTTGATGACATTTTTAACAGCTAAGTAATATACAACTGTGTAAATGTATTACATGTCCTGACCCACTCTTATGTTGAAGGAGAACTAAGTTGTTTTCAGTTTTGGGTTGTTATGAATAAAGCCAAAATGAATTTAGTAGAACAAGTGTTCTTTATGTTGGATGGATAATCCTGTGAGTACATGCCCAAGAGTAGCATACCTAGATCTTGAGGTATACTGATTCCCAACTTTCCAGAAGGCTTCCTTTATAATCTTCCCCATTCCTCAACTCTTTCTAATCCTCTCCTATTCCCTACCCACTGAAATTATTTTCTTTCTCCTTATGAACAACAAAAGCAAAGACACAAGCAATTGGAAAAAATCACTGAAACAATATAGTGTCCAATCTGTGTTGGCCAACTATTCCTGATATGAAGCCTGCCCTTGAGTGTGGTTAATATACACAGTGTCACTCCACTGAAGAAAACTGACTTTTTTCTCCAAGCATGTTTCAATTATAAATAGCTTTTTGGTTAGAGGTAGAAATTTAACAAATTTTCATCAAAGGTAGAATATAACTTCAAGATGAAAGGAAGTAATGAATAAATAGATAAAAGAATGAATAAATAAGGAAAAGAATTCCAACTTAATGAGGGATAACTTTTGGGATTTTATGGAAGTGATTAGACTTTTATAGGAAGGGATAGACCACAAACTTTTCTGTACCCAATAGTAAACAATCTCCAATTCTTGTTAAATAATTCAAGTCTCCCACCTATGTCAATCTCCTTTGTAATTACCAGTGTTGTGACATGAACATAATTGTCATCTGCATGCTGCATGCTGTGTGATGACAGAATAGCATGTGCCAGGCTGAAAAGCTGAGCCTGTCCTGTGTTAAGATGAGATTCTGGGCCCTGAGTTATAGATTTATTATTCCCAGGTCTCCTTTTCTACTACAGGAGTGATTTCCAGCTCAACTATAGATCTATAACACCACCTACATAGGGCGCTGACAAAAATTTTAAATGACTTCCAACCAATTACATGTCAGTGCAAAGGTGTCCACATCACCAGAGCAAATTCAATGAAGCAATTAGGAGTAATTATGAAGAAAACATCACTGTGAGCCTCCAGTGTTACAGGGAATACAGAAGGCACAAAGGGCCAATGCAAAGACTATGAAATTGGTTGCATGACCTTGATGAATATGGGACAGGTTGAGAGCTTTTCCCAATGCCCAGACATCCTTGGAGATTTTTTAACTTTTAAGGACAACTGAATGAACAGGCATGAAAAAAGTAGATGCAGTAGATAACCTATCTTTCTCATTCTTTAAATTACATTTTTCTAAAAGAGAGATTAATACCCAGATAGATTAATACAGTTGTCATTCTTTTTTTTTACAAACTCTACTTTATTCCTTTCCATGTTTATAAAATAATTTATATGGATAGCTAAATGTGTAGCCTCTCATTTAGAGATTTTGCTCTGAAACTCCTTCTAAGAGCAATGTAGTGCACATGCTCATATGTTGGCTGGTACAAACTTCAGAAGAAATTATGTTTATAGGAGCAAATTTTATTAATTCTTTGAGATTACAATATATATATATATATATATATATATATATATATATATATATAATGTACTTTGATCATGTTTGCCACCTTACCTTCACTCCTAAGTCCTCTAGATTTATCCCCTCATTCCCAACCTCTCCCAATTTCATATCCTCCATGTTGTACAACTCACCAAATCCAATTTCTGTTCTCCAGATACTCATAGATGTGTGAGGCCATCCACTGGCGCTTGCTTGACCAACGAGGGGCCACACCCTTAAGGAAACTTAATCTTCCTACCTCAGATGACAAGAACTGTCCATAGCTCCTCAGTCAGGAATCCGTTCTCAGGAACTCCTTTCTGTTCAAGAATGTTGAATAATCTGATCTTGTACAGATCTCATGCAGGCAACCAAGTGATTGTGAGGTCATGAGTGCTGTGGTTCTATCACAGACAGTAGATATTGTTTTTCTCTGATTCCCCCATGACATCTGCCTCTTGAAGTCTTTCTACTCTTTTCCATGATATTACCTGAACCTTGCGGTGAGGAGGATAATACAGATATCCCATTTGTGACAGGTCATTACTCTTCTTTGCCCATATAAGTGTGAGAATGTTTCAGAGAGGTTCAATTTAAGGAAGAAAAACCCACTTTGAATCGGGGTGATACCATTCCATAGGCTGATGTAGAGGTTTAATAACAAGAGACAAAGGGAAAAAATGAAGTGCGCACAGGCATTCCTATCACTGCTGCCTGACTGCGAACTCAACAGTGACATACACGTTCAGCTCTCTCACCACAACTCCAGATTCCCTCACTGCTGCTCCCTTACCGTGATGGACTCTGCCTCCAGACTGCTGGGAACAAAGCTTTCCTTGTTTGATTTGCCTTTGTCTGGCATTTTGTCACAGTAACAAGAAAGAGAATAACACATCCATCAAATGCTCTCCCTTGTTTCCTAGGTTCCTGTGTCTTTGCTGCTTTGTAGGATATGGTGTGTGTGTGTGTGTGTGTGTGCTTTTTGAAAGTAACATTTTTTTTCCAATTCCATATTTTGAAAATGCTTCCTCTAAATTTCTAATGGTATTGCAATACTTCCAAAGAAGCAAAAGTGAGAAGTTTTATTATTTTAGTTAATTATCTTTTAAAAAATGTTAGGATGTGAGATAATTTCAAGCTCATAGAAAAATTGCAAAAGATAGTAAAACGTTTCCTCATCCAGTTTTACTCATATTCTAATGCAAGATAAGACTGTTTTCTGGGATAGTGGACATTCTGGAGGCAAATGGTTGCCTGGCAAATGCAGTGCCTGGGTCCAGCCCTAGCATAGTTTACAATATATGCCAAATAAAGAGCTTATTATAAATTTCCTACCAGAAACAATATTGCACCATGTAACCACAGTTGAATTATGAAACCCCATATATTTGTATCTGTGTAGCAACATTGTCTCATCTCTTAACACCTTTCACATTTTCCCAATAATCAAAAAGGTTCCTCCTTGTGGAAAAAAAAACACTCTCCTGAAATATCTAAGCCAAGACTAACTGTACCATTTAGTAACCTTCCTTCTTCAGAGCATGTTCACATCCAAATTGTGTTTTATGGAAATAAGATACAGTAATAAGAAAAACTACTGACTAGAAGAAACAACAAAATAAGAATAAAATTTTCATTTTTGGGGGGGGGTTGGAAGAACAAATGGTAATACCTGTAAGATGCAGAGAGAGCTCACAGATAATGCATTAGACAAGAGATTAAGAATTAAATCAGAGAAGAATTTAAAAATGCTCAGTTTCATACAAATACAACTAAAGAAAATTGTCGTCTTTCTTGAAAAAGGGAAATGGAAGAAAGACTAAAGATGAGCTATCTGAATGAAAGAAAATTAACCGTGTAGAAACAGACTGTCTAAAGAGACTCAAGGAGGGCACTCAAGGTTTGGTGGTGTCACTGTTATTTAGAAATAATATGTCAATGCCTGTTAACAATGGTGCTAAAACTCAGGATTGAAAGTCTCTGCCCCATGTACATGTGTTTGTTGTTGTTTTGTTTTTTGTTTTTTGTTTTTTGGAGACAGAGTTTCTCTGTGTATCTTTGAGCCTTTCCTGGATCTCTCTCTGTAGACCAGGCTGACCTTGAACTAACAAAGATCTCCCTGCCTCTGCCTCTGAGTGCTAGGTTTAAAGGCATGTACCACCACCACCTGGCCTGTTTTGTTTTTTTATTTATTTTATTTTTTCCATGTGTTAACATGTAGCACCCCCACACCACGGAGAAGATGAAGCTTTTATCCCCCAGTGGGAAGGACTTGGGTGATTAGGGTGTACATTCTCTAGGGAACAGGAGACCCAGTCTACACCCATCTTTTCTTTGCAGAAAGAGAAAGTTTCTCCTAGGAAAATTATTATAAATAAAGTATATTATTAATTTTACTCCTCAGGGAAAAGGCAAAGGTTAGAGGAATATTTTCATGAAGAAATGAGTTTGTGTAATAAATAGAATTATACACAAATAAAACATCTTGATGAACCTTGTAGAATGTGGATGTTATAGAACATGGCATGGAGCAGCTAGAGTCATGGAGATAGTCATGTGAATAAAATGAAACAAATGTGACACAGGGTAGTGGAGACAGGCTTTATTTATTTTATTTTAAAGCATTCTTAATTGTACATAGCAATGAATCGCATCATGATATTTTCACACATGTGCATTAGTTGTTTGTGTCTTATTTCTTCTTCACTGTCTCATCTGTGTCCCCGTTTCCTGCTCTCTGGTTCTTTTTCTCTTCTCAGTAGTTCATTTTTCATTTGACTCCTTTTTGTTCCTTGATTTCACATGAATGAAAATGGAATATTTGCATTTCTGAGGCTAATTTTCTTAAGCTGATTTCTGATCCCTCCATTTTTCTACAACACTTTCAGACTAGTGATGATGATACTTGAAGGATTATAGTTTCTACGTATGAGAAGCAAAAAAAAACAACATTATGAAGCTGGAGAGCTGGTTCAGTGGTTAAAGAGCATTTAGTGAACTTCTAGAGGAACTCAGTTTAGTTTCCACCAATCACATTAAGTGACTCCTACTACCTGTAATTCAAGTTCCAAAGAATCCAGGATGCTCTTCTTGCCTCTTTGGGCAGCAGGATTTACATGGTAACATACATGTGCTGAGGCACACACAGCTACACAAAATAAAAAAATGTAATGAAACTTCTCAGAGATGGGGAGATGGATTGGTGCTTAAGAGCACTGATTGCTCTTCCAGAGGATACAGGCTCTATGTCTAGCACTCAATGGTGGCTAAAAATCACCTGCAACTCCAGTCCATAATGGTTGAACACCCTCTTCTGCCTCTGCAGGTTTGCATGTGGTACATAGACATACATGTAGGAAAAAATATGCATGCATGCAAAATAAAAACACCTCATCTACACCCATTAGAGCTGAAAATCTTCCTGTTACTTCAGATAACAGGAAGATTTTCAGCTCTAATATTTTTTTCATATTGACCTATACTTTGCCAATTGTCACCTAGTAATTTGCGTAATATGATGATTCCACATGTATGAACAATTCTCATTATTGGATAGAAAATTCTGTAAGAAAATGCTATAATAAAATGACTGTTGATCAAACCATCTGACACAGGAAACTGGAACAGGATGCTCAATATCTTCAAAATGCAGTCTTAGCATTATACAAAACATAAAAAAAATGCCAATATATATGAAAGGACAAATAAACAGGACTCATGTCAGACTTGGAGGAAGCTATCTCTTACTACAGCAGGGTAAAAACAGGCTAGAAATAGACTTGATATTGCTGATGAGAACAAAGGGGCAAACTATGGGAAAGCAAATTTCTAGATATAGAAATACACTTTCTACCCATAGCATTGGACCGTTGGAGGAAGTCCTAAAGACTAGCCGGATGGATGACACCGAGTAAGAGATGAGAAATGTGCACACCAGGATGAGGATAGTTTGGGTGGCTCTGTCCTCAGGTGAGACTTTCAGAAAGTGGTGAGCACTGTGGATATGCTTGACTTGTCTCTTATGTCTGTAGAGGAGACTCACCATGGAGACACTTGAGCAGGCCATGAGACCCAGACACAGGCCATCAGAGAAGCACAGTAAGAACATGTACAGTGCAACTGCCACATTGCCAGACACAAACCATGAGCAGTATCCATTACTCACCAAGTTAGTCATATTTTTCTTGTAAATGGGGCCTAATACTCTTGCTGGAGTCAAGATGTTTAACAGCAAGTGCAGAAGCCAGCTGAGAGAGCAGGAGGGACCAATGTGCTTGGTGATTCTGTGTTTAAACTTGTGCCACCTGGAGTTGTTGGGGCTGATTGTGATTACTTGGAAGCTACTCAATAGGCACATGACATACAGGGACATCCCTCTCATTACTCGGTAAATATACATTATCAATTTACATCCAATATCATCCAGGAAATCCTTGAATCCAAAGTGTGCCATTGTCTGTGGAATGCCTTTTGTGATGAGAGACAAAGAGTTGGCAAAAGTCAAGTGCTCTAGGATCAGGTCTTTGGGCATTAAATGCTTTCCAGTGAATATCAAAACGACATAGTAAAATAGAATTGAGGAATTGCCAAGCATGCCCACTGTAATCTGAGGGAAGAGGAAAATTCCCATTGCCAAGTTTGCAGGAGTCATTTTCATTCCTATGAAAAAGGTAAATAAATGTCTCCCAGTCAACAGACTCTAGAAATACATTAGGAGTGTACATTATTTCATGAAGTTAGCTTAAATACAACATTCACCACTTTATTGGATTTATATAGCTATCTCAATGAAAAAGGATGTTAAAGGAAATTTTCCCTGTTATTGTAAGGGGAAATATTAGATATGTTTACTAAAGATGTATGTTTTCCCTGGACATCATGGTAGCACCTTTAATTTTAGGACTCAAGAGACAGAGGCAGACAGATCTATAAATTTGCAGCTAATCTGGTCTAGAGAGGCAGTTCCAAGAGAGTGAACTCCACACACAGAGAAACCCATTCTTAAAAATCTAAAGTAAATGAATTAATTAGAATATTATTTTATTCATTGTTTTTGACTAAACACAATGATTTTGGGTTAATTTTCAAAGAACTAATTTTTAAAACGTGCTATCATTCCTGAAACTCACATGAAACAGATTTCAAATTTCACCCAAAGAAACAACAGAAAATATTGAAAATCATATTTACATTGATTGATTAAATATTCATAATATTTAAAGAATACTTCATTGTACAATTTATCTTGTTTTTAATTATGTGTGTGTTTGGGAGCCCCCAAATGAGTGTGAGTGACAACAGAGGCCAGAAGCTTGGCATCTTCTACAGCTGGATTTGTAGACAGT